GGCAAGATCCTGTCTCAACATTTTTAAAAAGAGCTGAGGATGTAGCTCCATAGTTAGAGTCCTTGCCCCACATGGGCAGGCCCTGGGTTCAGTCCCCAGTACTGCCAAAAATTGAAAAACAAATAGAATTGCTTCTATACATGTCACCTGGTGTCCAGACTCCATAAACACCAGACTTTGGCAAAAGTGGCAGATTCTGATTCTCAGTCCCAGCTCACAGTTCTCTCTCTCCCTCTTCCCCCACAATCATCAAACATTCCCCGTCCACCGTCCACCACAAGCCATGATTCTCCCCGCCTCCCCCCTCCCTTCCCACCTGGCCACCAGTCCCCTCATCCTCTGGTTCCCCTTCTCCAGGGAGCAAACAGAAGCCTGTGGGGATAAGGGAGTCCCTGGCTTCGTGGCCCTGCCCTGAGCTCTCTGCAGTGGCAGGATGACAGCACCTGAGGCTTGGGACCGCCTGTGTAAGCCTTGATGCAAAGTAAACTAAGGACACCGTCCTGGGAATCAGTGCCTGGGATCAGCGCCCCTCTCTAGTCAGCCTCCCTCAGGGAACTGGATTGGCCCGTCCACTCCCACCTTGTGCATTCTAAATGACTCCCCCTGGGACCTAACCACTTTCCTTTGATGTCCCCTGTGGAAGCTCTGGCCCAAGGCTAGAGATTTATCAAAAACCTTGAAAAAGGAGCCAATTCTTCCCCTTATCACACTCTAAGCTTCCCACTTGAAACTCCACTCGCAACTCTGTATCATTTAGACCAGAGAATTCATGACACTAGATAGCCTATCCACGTCGTGAAAAACTGGGGATGGGCGCTCCAAATGTGGAGTCTGATCCCTGGGCGCACTGGGGTAAAATCAAGCTGGGCGTTCTCCTCTCCAAGTGCTGCCTGCTGCTTCTCCACCCGTCTGATTCCCGCAACGGGGACAGGTTACATAGAGCCAGGTTATTTCTTCAGTCAGTAACCAACATCCTTCCCTACTCCACAGAAGACTGGGAACCAAACCGTAAGGTTTATATCTGAAGGTTTAAGGAATCGCACTCACACAATAGACTGATGAGGCGAACACTGAGTCCAGACTCCGTCCTTAACTGGGTTGCCAATGGCCTTCCGGTTGTGGGTGTGATCCGAGCAGCCCCCAACTCAGTCCTGCCTCCTGGCCCATGAACACGTGGAAAATAATCAAGAAGTACGCATGCTTGGTAAGAAGGCTTGCTCACTGTGCTCAGACCCAGCCCCCCCGAGCCTGGTAGGTAAGATACCGGGAATTGAGCAAATGCGTCTCCCGTGGAGAAGCGGCCCTCTACATAACCAAGCAACCAGGATCCTGAGTAATCCTAGTGGGAAGGTGCTTTCAATATTTAGAATTAATTACTTACTCTAAAGCTCATATTTCTGCAGGAGTTTTTTTTTAACATGATAATCATGCCTGCCATAGGCAGTTTATTGAAGAAAACACATTCATTAAAAGATCAGGTTTCAAGAAATCACAACCAGGTTCAGAAGCAGAAACAACATGGCCTCTGGAACCCTGGTACTTAATGTATCTGCCCCACCCTCTGCAGGGGAGCTCCCTTCCAATGCTCCCTGAGCTGGGCTGTGGGTTGTGACCACAGATGAGGCAGAGCCCTGGGCTCTGAGGGACCACGACATTCCCGTTGGGAGAACTAGTCTCTGGAATGTTCCATTCCCTGCCCACCCTGGGGAAGGAGGAGGCAGCAGGTAGTCCTGAGCCCACTGCTCTGCTGAGCCCCCCAGGGCCATGGACAAGGGCAAGTAGAAACCCAAACTGAGCCCACCTCCCTCCCTCTCCCCCACCTCACACACACACACACACACACACACACACACTCACACTCAGCCGGTGACTCTTACTTTGCTGACAGGTAGAGAAAGAAGAGACAACAGCCTGCAGGAAGGTATTCCCTGCCATCTTTCCCAGGGATGTCCTGGTTCCCAGAACCCTGCAGGAAGTGAGGGAAGATCACCCTGTGAAGCTGACCTTCCTTCCTTACAAGGTCAACAGAGTTGAGGAAGCAGCCTTTGCACCGGAACAGAAACCGGGATGGCAGACCGGCCTGGAGCTCCCAGAGCTATAGCTGACCACGGATACTTCCTGAACTTCCTGAGGTTCTTCCTGAACTTGCCCTAAGGCTCTCTGGTGGCCAGCTGCAGTGTGGCAGCTCCCCCTGCGGGATGAGCCCTGCAGAGCAGCCATTCTCCAACTCTCTGGGTCCTTCCTTCCCGCACAGGCACCCTGCCAGGCTGGCAGAGGCCTCACCTCCTGGGGAAGAAGCCGGAAGCTTGTCCCTAACCCCACTCAGCGGTTTCAGTGCTTATTGAAACCCACTCTAACCTTACTCACCCAGGGAGGAGCCGCAGAGCCAGGATTTGAACCCAGGTCCAGCAGACTCCAAGTGTGCCTTGTCCCCTGCACCAGGCTACTCCTACTGTCCTCTCAGCGCTCCTCAGACATCATGAGCATAGCTTTTAAAAAACAAACTTGGATACTGTCCTGAGGAAGGGCCCTCATGGAAACAGCTGAGCCAACCTTTTAAGGTGAATGAACTCCAGGGAAGCCCAGCGACTGGCCACCACCCTGGGCCAGGCCTCTCCACTGTCAGGACAGTGCCACAGCCACCTCCCCAGCCAAGGGTTTCTGCAGAGTCCATTCATCACAGCCCCCTCTGCTCTGTCAAGACAATTCTTTGCTCTTAATGAAGCAGCTTACCCCCCCAAAAAAAATTGGGGAATCCTTCCTCAACCCACCCCCCTGCTCAGTTGGAGGGGTGTCTGAGTCAGCTCCAGCTGCTATAACAAAGACACCATAGACCCAAGGCTTAAGCAATTGTTACTCCTCCCAGTTCTGGTGGCTGGGAACTCCCAGGTCACAGTGCTGGCTACTTCTGTTCCTGGTAAGGGTCCTATTCCTGGTTTGCAGAGGGATACCTTTTTTTTTCTAGTGCTAGGGCTGAGGACCCTGTACCACTGAGCCAGCCCTTTTTATTTATTTTTTTTTATTTTGAGACAGGATCTTACTAAATTTCCCAGGCTGGTCTTGAAGTTATAATCTTCCTGCCTCCACTTCCAGAGTCACCCTGGTTACTCTTTGAAAGGGCACTAACCCCATCATGGTGACCCTAGTTTCATAATCTCATCTAAACCTAATTACCTCCCTAATTCCCCCATCTGCTAACACCATCCTATGGGGAGTGGATTCTCAACATACAAATTGGGGGACACATTTAGCCCATAGCAGAAAGCACCTAGTAACTAGAAATTCGGGGGGCCTCAGCTTCACATTCCCACATTTAACAATGACCCAAATCCAGGCAAGATTGTGAGCCTCCATTTGATATAGCTTAAGGCTGAGTTAGTTAACACATAAAGTACTTAAAAGGGCACCCAGCATATAAAAATGTGTTGTAAAGTAAAACACACACAAAAAAAAAAAATTCAGAAAATTAGTTTGCCTATAACATACATAATATTTAAAGATATTTTCAAAAATAAAAAATCATGCCTCTTAGACAATATAAAGTGAAAATACATCAAAGATGTTATTTAGGGCTAGGGATGCAGCTCAGGGCTAGAGCTCTTGCCTCACATGCACGAGGCCCTGGGTTCAATCCCCAGGACCATAAAAAAAGATAAAAATAAAAGTGAAATTACATTTAACTAATTCATGAAGGAAGCACTGAGGCAATAGGGTAACCAGCTCAGGGCAGAGTTCAAGGAACCACACCCCTAATGGGCCCAGAGACGGCCAGATAGCTGCACTCCAGCCTGCTGGGTTGTCTTCAGCTTGCCCTGGAATCCCTGAAGGCAGAGATTATGTAAAGAGGCAGATCCAAGGCCTGAAACTTTTTTGTGTTCTCTATTTTATGGTTCTGCCCCTCAGGACATGGCAGGGACTCTAAGCTGCAAACCAGCCGTCCCAAACCCACATCACCACCTACTAAAATAACCTCCCAAATGACAGGCCTGGAAGGAGAGGTCTAGGCTGGGCCTGGGAGCAGGGAGGGCTCTCAAAGACAGAGAAGTGCTCAGAGAGGCCCACAGCAGGAGGAGGAGCTGTGGGTGCTGCTTGGGGGGTACACAACTCCTGTGGTGAGAAGCTCCTGGGTACTACGACTCCTTTAAGTCAGCAGCTCCAGGCTGACCTTCCTGGGCTCCCCACTGGACGACAATTGTACCACTTTCTGGACAAATCCTCAGCTGACTGACTTCTCCCAGACCATTGCAGGCAGTCCCCAGTCCCCCTAAGAGCTGGTTAAATAAACAAAAGCCTCAAGTGCTTTGAAACCCTTGCATCTGACTTG